GCAGCGCGCCGTTCGGGCCGACCATGTCCGGGTAGACGCCAAAGGCCTCGCTGCGGCCGGCGCCGTCCTGTGGCGTGAAGACGGCGGCGCCCTCGCGCTGCAGCGCGATGAGCCGACGCGCCTGGGCGGAAGGTTCCGAGAGGGTTCCGAGAGGGTCCCACGGCTGTCGCGGATTCACCCGACGCGCCTCCTTGCCGTCGGGCGTGCGCGCGCCGACGAAGCCTGCCGGTCCGTCCACGTCGTAGCTGCAGAGGCACACGTGCACGGGCGTGTCGTACCTCTCGTTGACGAACCACTCGTGCAGCAGGGTGCCATCCTCCGACGGGTGTGCCGTCGTCCGGATGTCCACGACGTCGTTCCAAGACACGCTGCTGACGTACTTTGCCAGAGCCACGTGACTGACGGTGGCGCTGGTGGACTCACGGCCCAGGCACGAGTTGGCCGCTCGCTCGCTGTGGCGAAGGTAATGCCCGTAGAAGAGCATGTTGTAGCTGTCGATCTCGGCTATACCGAGGCGGAGCCTCATCATGGCGACGCAGCAAGTCCTGCGGGTCAAACTCGCCGCCCGTGCGCTGCGCAGCGCAACCAAAACCGCCCACAAAACCGCCCACTGGAGGAGAGTAGCAGGAAAACAAAAAACTGAGCAGTCTCTTTGATAAAGGGAAAAGAAACACCGGATCCGCCGTCACAACCTTGCTCGCCCCGTTGCTCGCCCCGCTTGCTCGCCCCGCTCCCCGCTCGCCTTCTCTCTCGCAGAATATGGCGACGCCCAGCTGTCCACCTCCGTCGAGTGGCTACGTCAAGATGCGGAGGCAGCAGCACCGGCAGCAGCAGCCGCTGGAGCCGCTGGTTCAGCCGGCGGCCGCTCGCTCCACGGCGCCGGCTGCCGCGACGACCCACGGCACGCCGCAGCCTCGACTGCGGTGCTGCGAGCCGCCGAGCACCACGGCGAAGCTCTGGGCGGGAGAGCGCTACAACGGCTTCAACACCGTCGGCGTGGTGGACTACCCCTGGCCCGAGCAGCAGCTCCCCGGGTTCCAAGACACGACGGTTACCGCCAACATCGGGGTGTGCGTCAGCGGCGGCGGGTGCCGCTCATACGCGGCCGGCTACGGCCAGATGCGGGCGCTTCACAACCTGCACCACTTGAAGAGGACGCGGTACCTGGCCGGCGTCTCGGGCGGCTCGTGGCTGACGGCGGTGACCGTCTACAACCAAAACGACACGCCCGACAGCGTCTTTTACGGCGCGAGCCCGCCGCCCGAGGAGCTGACGATGGCTCAGCTCGCGGAGCTGCCAAAGGAGTCGCTGGGGTACGGCGCGACGCGCGACATGTTCTTCGGGCTGCTGCCGCGCGCCGCGCGCGCGGGCTGCCTCGGCTGCTGGACAGGCG